CTGACTGGATTCTGGGGGTTGAGGAGAGAAAGAGCCCCACTTACTTTCTGGTTGAAGCACGACAGGTTTTAGATAGACTCAGACCTTGGTGTGGGAAATTCTTGTGCTCGCTTTTAGCTGAGTCAACATGGAATAATTAGCTGGGATTGTGTTGTTGGCAGGGCTGTGTGCCTTCCCTTTGCTGACACCACTGAGCTGATAGCAAGCACCACCTCTCGTGTCTGTGACATCCCACTCCAGTCCTTCATCCTCCTTGGAACTTAACAAGGCACCTTCACCTATTTTTCCATTCACACCTCCTAATAATTTGATGATAAAGACATTCTTGTCTCCCCCGGGGAAACTGAGGCTCAGAGAAATTCAATGACTCGCTTAAGATGTTACAACCATCAAGCTACAAAACTGATATTCACAACAAATTTTATGCATGAAGCTCATCAGACTTATGATGCTAATTTTTAAATTGCATCAATTAGAAAAATTTAAATTGGCATACAATAAAGTTGACTTTCTGGTGTACAGTTTTATGCATTCTAAGCCACTTGTACATTCACGTATTCACCATAATCAGGATAAAAAACAGTTCTATCACACCCCCCCACCAAAGTATCTTCATCGTGCTACCCTTTACTTACCCTACCCCACCCCTCAACAGGTGACCATTGATCTGTTCTCCATTGGGGTCTTGACTTTCCCAGAATGTTATGTAAATGTAATCATGTTGTATGTAACCTTTTGAAAGTGAGGTTTTTCACTGACCACATTGGTCTTGAGATCTATCCCATATGGTTGAATGTATCCATAGTTGGATTTTTTTTTTTTTTAATTGCTGAGGACTTTTCCACTGGATAGGTGTACCGTAGTTTGTGAATTCTCTCACCAGCTGACTGAATTGTTCCTAGCTCTTTGTGATTATGAATAGAGCTGCTATAAATACCTTTGAATTGTGCTTTTGTGAACATAGTTCTCATTAGGAATTTTTTTATGGCCTGTGGTCTGTGTGGTCTGTCTCCTGATCAGTGTTGCCGAATGCTTGAGAAGTGTGTGTTCTGTTGCTGTTGGACGGAGTGTTCTCTCAGTGTCAGATGCAGAGGGCTGATGGGTTGCTTCTTCCGTATCCTTGCTGATTTTGTGTCTGCTTGCTATGTCAAATTGCTAAGAGAGGAGTGAAGTCTTCAGCTCTGATTTTGTGAGTTTCTCCTTTCAGCTCTCTCAGTTTTTTCTTAATGTATTTTTGGAGCTTCTGTAGCTTGGTGGATTTATGTTAAGAATTATTACATATTCTTGGTGAATTAATGCTTTTGTCATTATATGACCTTCCTTTTTATCTTTGCTTCTTTTCCTGCTTTTAGCCTGTTCATCATATTTAAAGTGGATTTATTTTAGATAACATATGGTTCAATCTTTTTTTCTTAGTCTATCCTGACAGTCTCTATTAATTCCAGTGTTTAGGCCATTTATATTTAATGTAATTCTTCATATGTTTGGATTTAGATGTATCTGTATTTTTCTTCTAAAGGATTTAGACAGTTATATGCTCTATTTGAAATTTTTTATCAGCTCTTCAATCTATTTGAAATTTATTTTTGTTTATGGTGTGAGGAAGGGATATCATTTCTCTGCGTGTCTGCCTACGCATGCAGACTAGCAGTATTTATTGAATCTTCTCGTTAATCAGTGCTGCTACTTCAGTCCTATATCTAGTTGCCTTATATTCATGGGTCTGTTTCGGGGCTATTTTTCCATTGATGTATTTATAAATCACTGCCCCCAGCAGTGCCTTCATTGCTATAGTTTTATGACAGCTCTTGATGCCTGGTTGGCCAGGTCCCTCCCAAACATCCTCCTGACCATTGTTCTCTATGTTCCTGACCCTGTGGTCTTACATATAAATTTTAGAATCAGTGTGTTAACTTTGATCAAAACTGAAACTCTGTTGGGATTTTTTGTTGAGTTTCATTGAATTTATAGACATTTCAAAAGAGGCAACTTATTTAAAAATATTGTCTTCCCACCCTGGAGCATAACGCATTACTGTGTTTATTCTTTGTCTTTAATACCATTCTATAAAATTTCAAAACTATTCTCCATAAACATTCTGCAGTCATTTTTAAAAAGATTTATTCCGAAATGCACTGCTATTATAAATATTCCTTCCTAAAAATTATTTTGTAACTGTTTCAGTCGATATAGAAGAATGTTGTTCATTCTGTGGATATGTCTTGACCTGCTGTTCAGCAGCCTTTTGAATGTATTTTTCCTCACTTTACAGAATGACTAAACATTTTATTTTGTAAACTCACCTCCTCTTTCCCGGCCCTCTCTCGTCACAACGGTGTGATTTCCGTGAAAGTGAGGGTCACTTTTTCTTGTTGCCATCCATATTCCCAGAGCCTGGACCAGTGCCTGGCACACAGCTGGGACTCAGCAGACGTTGTATTTGTCAGAGGAAGTGACAGAGTTCCTAATTCTCAACAGACGAAACAGTGCACACGCTCAATTGATGTGGGTTCATGCGCCCTGCTCTCTTTGCCTGGACACCATCGTCCCCTTCCCCGGCAGCTGGACCTGTCCTTTTAAGACTTGCTCCCGTCTAGTTCCTCTGGGAAGCTTTCCTGGGTTTCCCTATACTTCAGAAGGGCAGAACCAGAACAAAATAAGACAATACAGAAAAAAGCTGGAATTAAAAGTAACTATGCTCAGATGGAGCCTAAAACTTAAGACCATCCAGAGTGATGCAGAGAGATACACAAGAGTAAGGACATTGTGGTGGGTACAAAATGCTCCTTTTGGAGGTCAGGAAAGGGAATTAATTTGTGAGCGATGGTCAGAAAGCAGAGACCTGCTGGTACATCATGAGGGCAACAGTTAGGAGGAACGGAAACACTGGATCAGCAGGCCCCCCACACTCAGTGAGTCAGAAGAAACAGAGGACACAGAAGTGTGATGTTCTGTTGTTCATGCCCGTGCAGTTTTCTAACTGCTACCTTCTGTGAGTGCAAACAGTATATATCTGAGTCTTTTCTTCCCTGCTTTTAAAAATCACTTCAATTTTCCTCCTCTGATAAATGTCTTACAAATTCCTATTCCTGATGAAAGATTTTGCTGTGATTAAAGATTTCATGAAGTTATGACAAAGGCAGAATAGATCTTCATTCTTGAAAGCTCATTTTTCTGTGAGCCGAGTGAGGAGGCCTCTTGCACGCAGCTGTCAGAGCTAATGAGTATTTTCCAAGTGCTGAACCTCTGGGGGAAACACTCCCATCCAGAGAACCTCGAATCAACCAGTGTGAGCCTGCTTTTCTGAGGACACATGACGCGACCCCTCCCAGCGGCGCTCTGCGGAGACAGGAGAGCTGCTCTCTTCCTCACCCCCCCTGCGTGCGAGTGCTGCGTGCACCCCTTCGACGGTCAGTGTTTACAGATGCCCCGAGGCCTCTGATGGGGTGATAGGTGCGTGTGCATGGGCATGGGTGTGTGTGCCCATGTCCCTGGTTGGGGCACTGCACACTTCCCCACCTCAGTTCCCTTCTCTGGAAAGGACAGACAGGTTTGGAATATTTGTTTCCAACTACGTGGGAAGCACAGGATTTTGAGTTCTAAGTCTGCAGTGTCGGTCACCTTACTGGCGTTGCGGCTACGTGCGGAGCCTCACTCTCCCCACCTGCGCGGGGATCTGGAGACGACAGACTTGAGGGCGTTGAGATGAAATGAAGAGCCAGACGCCCCAGCAAATGGGGCTGTTGATGCTCTGCCCTTCCTTTGCTACCAGCAAAGCCTTGAGAAGTAAATTTGAGAATTGAGATGCCCTTGGGAGGGTCGTGTTCTTTTAAAGACACAGTAAGCTGAGGGAGAACCAGGGCACAGATCCTTTCTGGAGTCTTTTTCTTCCCTGCGAGGTGGTCCTCCCTCACTCCAGAATGACCTCTGGGTCTGTGGCTGACTTCCGCATCTGCTCCGGTGTGGGTACAGCTGTCCCATCAGATCACACACACATGACTCCTTGCCATGCGCCCACTGGGATACATGGCATTCACCACACCTATGATGGGAGTCTCACAATGGGGACTAAGGCAGATGACACATGTGTCATTGGGTTTTGTTCCTCACGTGTAGCTGATGAGTCCGGAGGGGCAGAGGCTCTGGATGGCCGCTTCAGCTACCGAAGGCACCACAGTGTCCCAGAACCCTCCTGGCCCCACTCGGGTCCACAGCCTCCGTGCCCCCAAGTGGGTGCTGAGCTGCTTGGCCTCCTGGTCATCTCGGGGCAGAGAGGGACTAGGGACCCTGAGGGGTGACACCTTCTCTTGGGGACTGGTCTTCTTTCTTGGCCTGTCCTTACCAGCTAGACCTTTGTTTCAGGGACCTCTCCTGCGGCGGGGGCCCCAGAGCTTGAGTGTGTTAGTGTTTACTTCCTGGACCAGAGAAGTCGAAGGAGGGGAGGTGTCAGGAGGCGGGAGCGAGTAAACCTGCAGCATCTTCACGGCTCTGAAGGGAAGGCTCATGGCAGATGCGCACACGCACAGCCGGGATCCGGTTCTGCGCGTGCCCGCACCCGGCACCTTGTTCTGCACCTGCGGAAGGGCGTACCTGCGGACGGCGGCACACACCTGACTCGGTCGTGACTCAGATGCCGGGTTGGTCAGTCAGCTCTGTGTGCCGCATGCTTTCCCCGGCGGTCCTACTTCCGAGTCCGAGTTCGAGTCCTCACAACCACGAGGCTTGGACGGCCTTGGTCACCTTCCCAGGGCTACTTGGTTTGTCAAGGCATGCCAGGCTGCGCACATGTGTCCCCAAGACCAGGGAGGCTCTGATGCCCAAACCCATTTTGCAGACTTCTGTTAGTTCAGAGTGAGCGTCTGGGACGCTTTGTGTGCCGTGTTGTCAGTTGCACCTCTGACGTCCTTGAGTGGTAGCAGGTCTTTTGGGAGGAGAAAATGTCTCCGTTGTTCTTGTTTGGCTTCCAGAAGATCCTCAACCCTCTCCTGTCTTCTGTGCAGCTCCCGGAAGTGCCACCTGCTCCTGGACGTCTTCAACTCCACGGAGCACGAGCTGACGGTCAGCGCCCGTGGCAATGAGGAGCTCGTCCTGCATGCCGGCGAGTGCCAGCGGTGAGTGTGCCCACTGTCCCACCTGGGGTGTCGCGGCAACCCTCCCTCCGAGACCCCAGAGGGAAGTCCGGTTTGTCTCCCTCTCAGGAGAATCCTGGTCACAATCAGGGGTCCCGGAAAGATTCTGAAGTGGCTTCAGCTTGGAGACAGGTGTGAGGTCAGGGCGGAGCCTGCTCCGGGCCCCTCTGCCTCAGGCCCTGAGGAACCTGGGCAAGATGTCACTTTCATTTCTTAAAGCTGTACCTGGGAAGCATTGGCCTTGACTGTGGGGCCTCTATCAATATCAGTAGGAAGCGCCCCGAGGAATTCCACAGTCGGGCAGGCAAGGCTTAGGCCTCGGGGAGAGGGGTGGCGCCACCTAAGCCCAGTCCCCAGAGGGCACAGAGGGGGTTCCACCGGGCCCTGGCATGGAGTCAGGTCCTGGACCACGCCTCACAGGAGCTGAGGTGGAAGTGAGAGCCGTTCAGGAGTAAGGCCAGGCCACACCGCGTGCCCCGAAGGCTGCCGGAGTTCCGCTCTGGGGGCCCCTTCCTCAGGCCCCTGCCGCCCGTCGGCCGGGCCTCTCCCCAGACCTACCACCGTGTCTCCATGTCCCGCTTGGATATTGGGGCATGTCCTTCAAGACAGAATTAGCATTGGGATGAGATGTAGGTGCAAAACAATTTTTATTTTTAATTGAAAAAAACTTCTCACGTGGGGAAAATACTTCAGAAAGCGGCACACACGTGTCCCAGACGTAAGCCCTTTGTTCACTTTTATTTGCCCCGGATCTCTCTGTCTCTTCCTGCCTTTCTCCTTCCCTTCTCTGCTGTGTCTGTGTCTTTCTCTTATTTTAAGGAAGTAAAACGTTTAAAAAAAGTAGCTAACGTTAACAGAGTCGGTGGGGGAAATGTAATTTCACTCCACACTCACCAGAAGGATTGAGGTCAGAGATCCGCCGTTGCAAGCACGGGCGTGGAGGGGAAGGTTCGGGAACCTGCGCGTCTTGGCGGGTAGGTGAGTGCGTGCAGCCACTTTGAGGAGGGTCTGTGGTTTCTTACAAAACCAAACATACACTTACTCGGTGCCCAGCAGTTCCAACTCTGGTAATTTATTCAGAAAAACTTTAAATGTTTGTTCACAAGAAGACCTACACAAGAATGCTCCTGGCCAGAAAATAGAGCCCAGATGTCCATGACAGGAGAGCGGGTAAGCAAAGGTGGCATTTTTTCTGCAATTGGAATGATACTCAGTGACCAAACGTAGCATATCCCTAAAGCCTCAGTAGGGGGACTCCAGGAATGGAGCCCCGAGTGAGGGGAGCCTCCCCGAAAAAAGCAGGTACCATGGGATGCCCAAGTCCCAGAACGTGCGAACTCGTCTGCCGTGGAAGGGGCAGAGCGTTGCTTGCCTCTGGAGAGCTCTGGTGGGCTTCTAACAGGCCGTGGCACGGGGGTTTTCTAGGTAAGGTCTCAGGGTACAACCGGGTGTGTGCATGCGGGCTGCGCATGTGTTTACGTTGAGAATTCAACATGTGTGTGCTTGGTTTGTGCATTTCGTTCCAAGTCAGTTTTACATGCAAAGACGAACTGTGCACGAGGACTGAGCTCTAGGTGCGTCTTTGCCCCTGGAGGCCTTGGAGGACGGCCTGACCCCGGCAGTGGTCTCTGGAAGGCTGGACAACTAAGACGAGGGACGGACAAGGGACGGAAAGTGGAGGGACTCGCGGAGAAGGCACATGGGCTGTAGTGCTAGTGGTGCAGACTCTTGGAGGGCCAGAGAGCGTGTTCACGGAATTCTTTCAACGTTGGGTTTGACATTTTTCATACGAAAGCACCGGGGGAACATGGTGTTGGGAAAAAATAAGTGGGAGGAGAGCTGAGCCCTCCTCCCTGTCTCCCCGGCTTCCTCCCCTTCCCCTCCCTTCTCAGGGGGACTGCGGTCGTAGAGGCGATGGAATCATTCATATCGTGGTTTGCTACTTCTTTGTCTGTATAGCTACAACCAAACATTATTTTCAGAGTTCTTTTATGACAGGCGGTTCTATACCACATACGTCTTTTTAAAAATGTGTCTTTTTATAACTTTAAATCAGCATTATGCTTTGGAGATAAATATACGTCTGGTTCTCTCCTTCCGATTGCTGTTTCTCTTCTGTTGCACAAATGTGCTGCTTCATCCGTTTCCATGCTGGTCCACTCCGAGATGGCTTCACAGTGTTGCCATTTAATGTGATCATTGTTAATGACTCCTGCGAATGCGGGATCGGGCCCCGTAGCCCCTGGTGCAGGACTGCTGGGGCAGACAGTTGGAAGCTTGAGGCCCTGCGCCTTGGGGGCCTTCCCCCCGGAGATTTCGCTGTCCGGGCCCCTGCAGAGGACTTGCTGTGTGGAGGCACCTGTGCTCCTGCACACGGGCTGCGGAGGCCGAGGCTCAGGGTCCGGCGCCTGGTGCAGGACTGGCTCCTTTGTAGGGTGCCTGTGTAGCCCGTGGGGTCTCCACTGCTGGCAGCTCTCCAGGCCCTGTGCTGTTCTCCAAATCGTGAAGGAAGCTGAGGGCAGAAGCTCTCTGCCTGTCTTTGTCTGGATGTTCTGATGTGGTTGGAGATCCCAGTGGACGTAAGTCTGGTCGTCTGATGACACTGACGTGAAACCGGTTGTGACAGATTATCAATCGTCAAACTTGTTCTCAGCAGATCGTTGGCGTCGGTGGAAGGCTGAACGGCGTTGGCAATCCGACTCGCACGCAAGTGATCACAAATTCATCTCGTGCTTCAAGCATCCTCGTTATCGACCTTTTTTCTTAAATTCTCCTTTCTCCGTGCTCCCAGCTCACCCGTTCTTTACTCCTTCATAACACATTCACCCAGTAAATACTGATCCTTGGAGAACTTGCTCTGCGGTGCCTGTGCGGGGCTCCAGGAGTGCCAGGGTGAACAGGGCCCCCCACCCCCAACCCGGGAGCTGGGTGTGATGAGGGTGATGAGTGTCTCCCACAGCCGGTGTCAGCCTGTTGGGGCACCTTGCTGGCCTGCGGTGGGACTGGTAAATCAGAGGTTGGCAGTCATCTCTGCCTCTGATCTGCTGTCCCCGCTAACCGGTCCTGAGTGCCGGGGAACCCAGTGTTTATAGGCCCTTCCCCTTTCCAAATGTCCCTGGGCTTGCCTGGATCAGGACAGACACATGCTCTGCCCCTGGGGAGGGGGTCCAGTGCTCACAGACCGTGCTGCTGGAGGAAGCAGAGGCGGCTGAATCTTACCTGGCAGCCCCAGGAGGCGTCCTACAGACCCCGGCCGCGGATGGCCTTGCTGTGGACCCAGGCCATCTGCTCGGGGCCCAAGACCTTCCCAGAGTCCTGAGTTCAGCCATTCTCCTGCCTCTTGCCTTGTGCTGTGAGCAGCCAGCCCCAGCCTGCCTCAGGCGGCACCCACCGCCGAAGACGTCTCTGGCTGCTCTGAGGTGGGTCGGGCTGTGCCCCTCGGTGACTCCGGTTCAATCCCCTCACCTGCGTGTGCAGTTCCCACTGCTGCTGGAAAACAGGCGGACGGACACCACTTGCTGCTTGCGCAGGCACCGCGCGCTGATGAAAGGCCGCGATCCTGGGACTCGTGTGGCTTTGTTTCCGCTCTTCCCAGCATCCTGGCAGCCCTGTGCCTGGAGGCATTTGCTTTCCTTTCAAGGATGGTCCCGACTCTGGAAGAGGGACCAGCTCAAGTCCTCTTAGATTATTGGGAAGCCTGCACGGCTCTTCCCCTCCTGGTCGTTAGGGGCGACCTCATTTCACCCGGGACAGGAGCGTGTGCTTCCCAGGCGGAGAAACAGGGAAGGCGGAGTTACCGAGCCCATGTGTTTGGAAGTGAGGGCCCTTGAGTCCTCATGGTGCTTTTGCGGGAGGTTTTATCTGCATTTTATGGGTAAGCCCCCGAGTACGGTCAGCAGATTGCCTTGCTAGGCTCCACATCTGTCTGACTGAAGGTTAAGAACCAGCTCCATTCCTCTCCCCTGGCACGGCGTGCAGCCTTCGGCGAGCCGTGACCAGCACTGTGAAGTCCACTGTCAAGTGGGGAGGCCGGCAGAAGGACAGGCGGAGAAGCCTACTGGGCTCTTGGTGTCCATGGTATTGATGAATTCATTCCCGGAGTGTCGGGCTGGCGCCGGGCCCTGCCAGGAGGGCAGGCGGTGAGCAGAGTTGGGCCCTCTGTGCTGGTGTGGGGTAAAGGCACACAAATGGGCAGCGGGTGCGCATGGTGAGGGCAATGGAAAGCACGCGGGAAGACGCCTGGCCCAGGCGGGGTGGAGGCAGCCAGGAAGGCTTCCTGGAGGAAGGGGTGCTGATGTTGAGCAGGACTGAGTAGGAGTGATCTGGGGCTGGTGTACAAGGGGCGGCTGTGGGGTGCAGGGCAGCGTGCCCTCAGGAGTGGCATGAAAGGGTTCTCGACGGAGCACCCGTGTTCCTCGCTTGGCAGCTCAGGTGTCAACTTTGTGCTCTTTTGACCTCTGAGTCAAGAGGTCGGAACTTGCCCTGGGTCATGCAGTGCTCGCCGCGGGAACCCAGGGCCACCTGCCGACCCCTGGGCCTCTCTGCAGGAGCTATATGCCGCGCAGTCGAATTTCAAAGGATGACCAGAAACTGTAGAAAGCTTTTCTGAGGAAAACAGCATCAACTTTCTTAGGAAAATACAGTGTTGCCTGTGGCAGATTTACTGGTAAATTAAAATGATAATTATTATGGGGTTTTTTTTGTTGTTGTTTTTTTTTTGCTTAATTGTCAAACCACTAAAATCAAATTTCATGACCACCCTCATTTACGTAGGCATCTTTTTAATCTCTGGTGATAGACATTATCCTGTGCCTCGAGCTGCCCCATTTTGTGCCGTCCATCACACGGGTGCACGGCCCATGCAGCGGGCCTGGCAGCCGCGCGTCCGCGCCCCCTCACCTCGGGGGTCGATTGCTGGTGGTCTGCGAGCCCAGCCGCCTGGTCGTGCGCCCCTGAGCGTGGCCTTCACGCCCGAGCACGCC